GTAAGACCTGGAGAATCAAAATTTTGCTACAATAAGGGAACAGAGACAAAATAGAATCCATCTTAATCCATAAGAAAATGTTTTTAATTGTGGGGAAGACAAAAAGAGTCAGCTATAGGAGCATTTATTGTGCAGAGATGTCTTTAAAAATAGTTCTTAATGGTATCTTACGAGTTTTCTCATCTTCTAGGTCGAGTGTTTATAAAAATATCTTAATATGGCAATTTAACTGCAGAACACTAGAACTTATTATGGAAATTGCCTTTAAAATACCAAATTAGACTCTTCTTAGTCCCTTTTAAAAATTTATCAGAAATACTTTTATTGGACTGGCCCAGGTAGCGTGCGCAGCTTAACGGCACGGAGTAGGCGGCAGTCAGACAGCAGGGTGTGAGAGCACAGTTTGCGTTTGTGGAGGCTGTGGGCCAGGGCTGAGATGGAGCCTCTGGAGTCGGCTGGTGTTTTACGGGCTCGGAGATCAAGAAGTGTGGGTTTACTTCACCGCCACTTGGATGCAACCATTTTCTAGCTGTGACATGAATCCTGGGCGAACATAAGCAGAAAAAATAACCTCTAAGTGTTTTCCTATGTGCAGCGCATCTGCGGGGACCAGGTTACCTGCTTCCCAGAGGCAGGGCCAGTGGCCACAGCTTGAAACGAGTGTTTCGGTTGGCTGAGTCCTTCCCTGACTCCCTCACACAGCAGAACCAGGAAACAAAATCATAGAAAAACAGGAAAGGGAAGAGTAGAGTCCACGGGACCGACCCCGAGGCTGGACTCAGAACACACACAGTATTCTGCTCTCATCCGGAGTGGTAAAGACCGAAATCAATTAAAACTACCATAGAAAGAAGCAAAGAAAAAGAGAAGCGTGCTGAACAACGAATCTGAGACATTTGCAGTTCTCATAAGCTACAGCGCGTCTGAAAGGTCACCTCTCTCTCTTTCCACTCATTCACATGTGGGAAAACAGTCCACAAAGTAAGATGAGCAGCTCAGTGAGGAAGGCTGGCCGACAGTTATTCCCAGGGGACTGTCTCCAGATGTGACCACCACTTCCAGCAGCGATAAACTCCTGACGGGCTCCTTCGGGGAAGGCACAGAAAGCCAGACGCTGACTTAGGTGGGAACCTCAATGGGTCCTCTGTTCCCCAAGCTCGTTAATTCTGCCCGTGCCAAGGCCAAGCGCTCCCTTGGTCTCAGGCCTGGCCTTGCACACCTACTGTGATCCTAACGCTCTGCAGGCTCAGTGCTGGGAGGCGGCCGCTGGCGGGTGAAGGCTCCCGTGGAAACTGGCTACGGCTTGGCCACTCCGGGCTCTGACTGCTTGGCTTGCTTGTGGGCAGAAGCCTCCAGGCCTGGCCTGCAGAAGTCGGCAGCAGCCCGGCTTCATGGGGTAAAATCCCCCTCTCACCGTTCGCCCAGCATGCAGCATCTTTCTTCTTCCTACAAGCCCCTCCACCATCAGCAGACTGGGAAGGGGGATTTGAGCTCAGAGCTCAGACACACTGACTGCTGAGCTGTGACGGAGAACCAGGCGTGGCTTACTGCTAAAATACTCGCCTGACAGGCACAGACACCCACGTTCAACCAGCATGGTGGTGCACACCTGTAATCCCAGCTCTTAGGAGGCTGCGGCATGAGGTCACTCATCTGAGGTCATCTTAGTCACATATTGGCCCCGAGGCCAGCCTTAGTGTCATGAGATCTTGTCTCAAAGGAAGAGACTCCACTGCCCTAGAGTTATTCTTCCTTTGCACATCTGGCAGAGATCTTTGCTCCGCTATCTGTCACAGTGGTGACCTCCGTAACTGGGAAACAAGGGCCCCCTCGTCCTAATTTACATCAGGCTCCACAATGATGTCGCTGAAGCTGCTGAAGCTGCTGAAGGGCACCGGTGAGCAGGGTGGGCCCTGGAACCTTCTGAGGGGGTCATTTCTAACTACATCATTTCTGTAATTTAATAAAATGTAAGGTGAGGTAGCATTAAATTGATACAGTAAAACAAAGCTGGACTGAGCAAAGTGGGACAAAACACACTTAATATTGATGGGTGCGATGAATGTTTTATGCAGACCAACCCAGCTCTCAGCCCTCACAGAGTGTTCGCTCCTTCCCAACAGCCTCTGGGATTAAGCTGCGTCCTCTACCGACTCAGGCTTGCTTGGCTTCGCCTCACGTAGCCACTCCAGGTTGGAAGGGAGCATTTATTGAAGTTTTAGCTTTGTTTATTCTAAAAACTCTTCCTAGAGAATCTCGGTGGGGAAAGAGAAGGGGTCTGTCGGTGTCTGCTGCTAGTTTTGCTCTTGGTGGGGTCATTAGAAACCCTTTGTTAAAAGGCACTCACAAAAGCTCAGAGATCGTTCAGTTGGCGGAGTCAATGCCTGTGACCTTGAGCACCTGATTTGGGTCCTTTAGAACATGCATAGTGACACACATCTGAAGTCTGAGGAGTGAGGATGGGAGAGGCAGACAGGTGTGTACCAGGGCGCAGTGCCCAGGCTGGCCAAATTGGTGAGTCCTAGGCCAGTGAGACAGTCAGGAATAACAAAGTGTGTCAAACCTAAGGAATGACTGCGAAAGGCCTCCTGTGACCATCACATGCGTATGTACACATAGTACCCCTCCCACAGCCCCCCCAACACATGTACAAGCACGTGGGCGCTGGGACTCAAGCCCAGGCCCTCACGCTGAGCTGCTTCCTGCTCATATACCACCTTGAAGCAGAGAAAGAGGAGGATGAGGGTCTGGAAAGAGGGGAGGAAACACGAGGTAGGCAGGGGCTGTGTGGTGAGGGCTCTGTGTGGGGCCCTGTGTGCTGAGGGCCCTGTGTGGTGAGGTCTCTGTGTGGTGAGGTCTCTGTGTGGGGCCCTGTGTGCTGAGGTCTCTGTGTGCTGAGGGCCCTGTGACACAGCAGCCTTTGGAATAGCTCCCTTCCTGGCCTGTTAGCCATAGCTGCCTTTAGAGATGGACATGGAATGTCCCCTCCCTCACCCCGCTTTTTGACAGAAAGGAAGTTGGAAAGCCTCGAGCCCCAACAATCCTGACAGCCCCTGGCTGTCATCTCTGGGTCCCCCGAACACTGGTTCCTAGCCTCCCTGGAGGTCAGAACTCAGACTCTGTGATCCAGTGCCTCACCTTGATCCATGCTAGATGGTCCAGCATTGAACCACCAGCAGAGGACATCAGGCAGAACCGGCTAGAGCCTCCCCGGGGGCCAAGGGCCAAGGCCAGAATGTTCCTTCTTCACAGATACAGTAGCCTCCCAACATTCACTGTTCAACTCAGAGTTAGAAAAGTGCAGCGCCAACCGCAGCCAATCATGTTCTGTCTGACAGCGAGCACAGTCAAGCTGAGGGCTGCCGCACAAACTGACTCTGAAATTCTGAAGACATTTATAAGCCAGTTAACAAATGCGGACTTTATCAAAAGCTAAGTTTTAAAAATGAAAACAATCAACGAGAATAGGGAAACTGGACATTCAGGAGAATAGGTAGGCTCCGTTGCTCAGCAGCTGAGGGGAAATAGCTCAGCATGGTTAGCAGCATTTGCTGCGAAGGTGGCTGACAAAGAGATGATATTTCCTTTATGAAGAAACAGTTTCAAACAAGAATGTTAAAATAGCAATGAACCACACTTAAAGCTTTCACACACAGGACCTTGAAGTTTTCTCTTAACTCCTTTCAAATCCATAAATCTGCAGTTTTCTGGGAATTTCATGAACAAAACTATAAACTTTCTTTGTAGTTACAGAAAGTATGTGGCCCTAGCTGTAATGCTACCTGAGCTACCTCAGGAGCCACCCTACGGGCCCATGTACGGAGAGGGAAGAAGGAAGGGAAGAGATTCCTAAGATCCTTTAAAGACTAACTTCAGAGCTCACATACATGGCCTCTGGTAAGACATTTAGGTGCTGCCCTCGTGTGTGTGTGTGTGTGTGTGCGTGTGTGTATTCTTTTTATTTATTATGTATACAATGTTCTACCTGCATGTACACCTACAGGCCAGAAGAAGGCACCAGATCTCATTATAGATGGTTGTGGGCTACCATGTGGTTGCTGGGAATTGAACTCAGGACCTCTGGAAGAGCAGCCAGTGCTCTTAACCTCCGAGCCATCTCCCCAGCTCGTCTGCCTCTTGTTTCATTAGAGCCTGTGCTTAAGCCTATGCTAAAATCTCTTAATAAACTCAAGCTGTGGTTCCCACTGACCCCTCCTGAAGTTCTTTTCTGTGCTGAAGGTAGAAGCTTCTGGGAAGGTCTCTTCACGCTGCCGCTGTGTCTCTGCTCACCATATTATTCACAAGCTCTGACCTCATTTACAGATGGAGCCCCCCCCCCCCCCGCCGTGGAGCACGCCTGTGAGGCTCTTAGTATGTCTTCGTGTTGGGTAATCACCTCTGTAGCACAAGATGTACCTGATGATTGATGTATGATCAATATCACGACCAGGAGACATTTAAAATTATCGTTGACTTTGAGATACTTCTTTCTGACGAGTGGTTACAGAGGCTGCCGAGAATGTGTTACAGGCCGCGCAATCTGGGCCAAAGTCTCATAAACCACCTCAGAATATAAGTCTGTATAGAGCTCATGAACCTGATCTCACTCTTCATACAACCTTGTTCCGTGTAACTCTGAATTTAATTTCAAGTGTAAATACACTGGCATTTCAGTGCTTCTGACATTTTGTGTAACTTGTGGAGTGTCTGAGAAACTGAAAGTAGCATTTCGATTTATAAGTGTAAGATCAAAATGTGTGTGTAACACTTGCTCTTTTCTGTTGGGCATCTTTTCTGTCTTACGAGGATGCTTACTCAGTGTGTGGCAGGAGTTTGAAGCTCTCTAGTCAGTCTTCTCCTCGATGGCCAGGGCATTCATTCCAGGCTGTGGCTTCAGGCACCTGGATAGGTCAAGCTGAGTAGCAGCTGGTACAGAAGGCCTCCTGACCTTGCCTGAAGCTGGGCGCAAGGCCACCGCTGTCTGAGACAACGGACTTTAAAGAGGAAGTTTGTTTCTGTGTCATTTCTCCATGCTGCAGCCCCCAGCCAGGGGTCCCCACTGCCTGGAAAGTGTGTGGAGGGACAAGGCCCCTCACCTTACGGAAGAACAGAAGAGGGGCTGGGGCCACTCCTCCCTGAGGGAATGGCCCATGGATTCCACCCCCAATCTGGACCCCGAGTCCTAAAGGTTCCTCCCCTCAGATATGGCTTCACACTGGGAGCCAATCTCACAGCACAGAAGTGTGCTGAACTGTCTCTGAACAGGACGCTGAAGCTGAACTGTCACAGCCAGCATATGAGAGGTGACAGGTGTGTCAGTCATGGAGGCACATATGTGTGAAGTCCCGAGTGAGAGCACATGTCAGAGATCCCCAAGCCTCGGGGAATGGCACAGCCTTCCCTCCCGATCTGAATGTGAATGCTGAAGGTCTGCAGAAAATACGGAGACCCAGGAAAACCATAGCCACCATCCCAGACATGTGACACCCCAGGATGCCCACACCTACCTGGCTAGGCGATGGGCCAGTCTGGGAGCTCAGGTTGCCTGTTGCCCAGAGGGCTGAAGAAGAGAAAACATTTAACATATTTAAATTACTAGACATCAAAAAACTAATATTTTTAAGTTTTGTTGTCAATCATTTAGCTACATTTCTGCCTTTGTAACATCGCACTTTGTCCCCTGTATATAACGTACCTGATTAGGGAGTCCTGTTAGCAGGGAAAAAACTCACAGTGGTCTTTATTCCAGTAAAAACACATTATTGGATTATGCGTGTTGAAGCAGTCAGGCTGACCAGCTCCAAGATAACGGTGACAGGCACAGAACCATGGCAGCCAGACCTTGCTGTGGGAAGACCAGGCTGAGCCCTGGGAGTAGCCGAGTCAGCGGGGGGCTGGCGTTCTGGAGCCAAGTGTGCATGCGAGGGGTGTGGGTGGACAGGACACTGCTAGAGCACCACGCCGGAGTCAAGACCCGCCATGCTCTGAATGCAAAACGTCCCCAAGGGTTAGGCTGTGACATGCTAGGAGGGGGCCGTCCTGGCTGAAGTGGCCAGCGGGGCCTTGACCCTGCTCATCTGGGGTGCAAGCCGGCTCCTGCTGCCTTTCTTCCACCTTCGGGCCTTTCCCACCAGGAAGAAAAGCCGTTCCTGCATCTCAAGTCAGTCGCCCCAATGAATCCTTCCGCCACTAAGTTGTTTTATCACAGCGTCAGGAAAAGCACCAGGGATAGGAAGACTCTGGCTAAACTGATCTCCTGGGATTACCCTGAAGTCAGGGTGGTCGGAAATTACGGACTGGATGGTGATGTAAGGCTGGTCACATTTCAGGATCCTCAGCTTTAAGGGGTCTCATCTTAAAACTGGATTTACCGGGAAGTGCACACAGTCTAGGGTCCTAGGATAAGCTTATGGAGCCTCCCGAGGTTCGGCCGAGCACAGACTCTTTGCAGTTCATTCGAAAGCTGTTTTATTAAAGTACTGACTCGCCTTTGCTTAGTTTCTGGTGGCTGATTTTTCCGGGAGCCCTGTCCCTGTGATGTTTGCGAACGGCTCTGAGCCTCCACGGCTCTTCTGGGGACATTCGTTTTAGATAGCTGTGGGTGGACACCGATATCTTACAAGGTAGCATTCCTGCAATTACCAAGCTCTTAGCAATAATTGGAGACTAAGTAGGGAGACATTAAATCTAATTTCCTTTGCGCCCTTTATTAGCTGAGATGGGTGTTTTGTGCCTTGAGAGAGGAGCAGCCAGCTTGATGGCACCTGCTCTCTGACACAGCACTCTGCGGCAGGGAATGTGGAGGCGCCGGGACAATCTTCCTACAGCTGCTCCGGGTTCACAGTTCATGTTTTGAATGATGTGTCGGGCACTGACGGTGGCACAGCTTCCCACCCATGGAACCGCAGGCAACCCAAACAGTGGCCCAGCTGGAGCCTCCTGGAGCTTCAGGAGGACCAAATTCTGTGCAGGGGATGGCTCGCACACGGCCAAACTGGGGAGCTCTGGGCTGGGCCATCTCGATTCGGAATGAACTCCAAATCCATCATCGGAGGCAAAGACAGTTAAAATGTCAGGAGCCCTGAGACAGCCTGCGCCTGGATGCCCTGTGCTGAGCTCATGTGCCGAGCCTCCTCGGTGTCTCCCCTCTCTCCAGAGCCCCTGGTCTGCTCCCCTCCATCCAGATCATTGTCACTGACAACTGACTCAGCTTCAGCCCAAACCCCAAACTGCAGTGATGAGTGCAGAGGCCGGGAGTGCTGTGAGGAAGTGAGCTGCCATAGAACCGTTCTTAAGAGTCTGGGTTTCAGACACTGGCCCTAGACGGCACTTGTTCAGCGCACACACGTACACACACGTGTACACACACACACGCACACACACACGCACACACAGAGTACTTGAGTAGCTTTGTGTCTCCATCTTCCTTAGCACAGCGTGCACCAGGTGAAACCTACCTTCCTTTTTTTATTACTACAGAGGAAGAAAAAGACACAAGTGTGTGCTCTGCCAGGGCCGCCACTGAGGGGCCTATGTTCCCACAAAGCTGTCGTTGGGGCTCAAAATTTCAGCTCTGTTTCTCTCTCATTAATTTTAATTCAGCAAGAAAAGCCAACAATAAATGCGACATCAAAGGAGCAAAAAAGATCCTGTCTTGGACTAGGTCCCTGTCAGCCAGGGAACCGCTGGTAAGTGTCAGGTCCTGAGAATTCCGGAGCCACTGGGAGACTGGGAGAACAAATTCTCCTTTATGTCTTTCTTTCTTGTCAAAGGTTATTGTCTATTTTAATGGTGACTTTATTTTGAGGTTTGTGGTCTGGGTGTATGAAATCTCAGCTCATGTCAGTAATAAAGCCACAAGTGGCGTGAAAGAATTAATGGGCTCTCCGATACTAGAGGAATCCAGTGTTTCTCTGGAATACCTCATTATTTGCATACTGTGATTGCTTTCAAAAGTACAGCAGTTTGCAGAGAGACAGGAAGTTTGAGCCGCAGGCAGCGCCAGGGCGGGCTGCAGTTTTCATCTGTATTGACACTGCCTGGGCAGTCTCACATGCGGTAACCAGGAGGCAACAGAGATCCAGGAACGCAGCAGGTGAAGCAGCTGGTCCTGGGCGCTGAGGCAGGGGCATTTCCAGGACTCGAGGCCTGCCTGGCCCACAGCCTAAGAGTGTCGAAACCAAAACCAAAAGAAAGCCCGAAGTCATGTGCTGGGCGCCTCTGTCGCTGCTTAAGAGTTTAAGAAAAAAAACAAAAGGACGAGCAGCCTGTACGGAAATAAAAACCAAACCCAGGGCTTACTATAAGCAGCAGCAACCGAGAGGCGAGGCAGGCGGCCAGTCCGGGATGCGCCCCTCGGCTTTGGGGAAGGGACAGCGGCGTGGGTTCCCCGGTCTGGGGCTCAGCGGGTGGAGCCCGGGGCCTGTGCCCTCGCTGTCCTGCCGGTGTCCTCCCGGCAGAGAGGTGTGGGGCGCGGACTGGGCACCTGCTACGCGGCCGGGAGCGGCGGAGCCCTGGCCCTCTGCAGCCGAGGAGGGCTGGGCACGGACCCGGGGAAGCGGCCGGGCGTGCCCCGGGCCCCCGGGCGGCCTTCCCGCGTGCCCCCAGCCCCGCCGCGCCCCCTCCTACCCGCGCGCGCCCCGGCCGCCCGGGCCGCGGCGCTCCTCGGCGGAGGCCAGGTGTCGGGGACCCCGGGTCCCGGGATGCGGGGGGCGGAGGCGCGCGAGCGGGC